ACAACATTATGCACTTTATTGTAGGTGTTTAGGGTTATTTAGTGGATATGATCTTGTTTGGCTAAAAAATGAAACAATAAAATGGGTAATTGGGCCAAAAATTAAAAAATTAGAAATGAAACAAATTATTGGGCCAAAAATTAAAAAATTAGAAATGAAACAAATTATTGGGCCAAAAATTTAGATTTAGAAATCATTAATTTGTTAATTTGTTTAAAAAAAATTAAAATTAAAATAATTCGATTTACTCAATATAGAAAAAAAATTAGAAAGATTCGGTTCTTATTCGGTTCTTCGGTTCTTGATCTAGAACCGAGAACCAAACCGTACCCGTCGATTCTCGATTCAAATACCCGTTCGGGTATTTAATTTGACAAGAATCGTCGGGTTCGGATCGGTTCAATTCGGGTTCGGTTCGAGAGATTTGCCCAGCCCTAGCTAGGGCTTTACGGTTTCAAGCCAACTTGCCCATTAAGTTTTGGGGAGAATGCATTTTAACAGCAGTGTATTTAATTAATTATACTCCCACATCACTTTTGTCTGGAAAGAGTCCCTACGAACTCTTGTTTTCTCAAAAACCAAATTATTCCCACCTTCGTGTTTTCGGGTGTCTTTGCTATGCATCTGTCATCCCTCGTTCAAGGGACAAGTTTCAAGCACGTGCATCTGCTTGCATTTTCGCTGGTTATCCCCATGGTCAAAAAGGCTACAAAGTATATGATCTCACCACACACAAAATTTTCACTTCCAGGGATGTAACGTTTTATGAACATATTTTTCCTTTTCAAAATGTGTCGTCACCTTCCCCTCACAATTCATCAACAACTATACCTATACCTTTACCCACACTAGACCATGGAACTGAACCTTCCTCTCCCACCAACACCACTATGGCCATCGATCACACCTCATATTTCCCGACTCCTGATGCTCCCATAAACACCGACATCTCTTCCTCTTCCACCAACTTACCCAGTACTCCTCCCCCTAGTCAAACCCTACCAATGCATACTCAACGTCCCCCCCGTGATAGGAAGTTACCATCTCATTTTCGTGACTTCCATCTTGACTTGCCCGGGAATAATAGATCCTCTCCCGCCTCTTCCAATCATGCTTCCTCAGGTATGTCCTATCCTTTAAAGAATTTTCTCTCATACTCTAAGTTTAATTCACCTCATACTAGTTTCCTTGTGGCCATCTCTCAAAATGATGAGCCGAAGTCCTATAACCAGGCCGTCAAAGATGTTCGTTGGCAAGAAGCAATGAAAAAGGAATTGGAAGCACTTGAACTAAACCATACTTGGACTTTGGGCAAGTTGCCCCCCGGGAAGAAAGCTATGGGATCACGGTGGGTTTACAAAATCAAATATCATTCCGATGGGACAGTTGAGCGGTACAAGGCCCGCTTGGTCGCCAAGGGTTATACACAGGTTGAAGGGCTTGACTACAATGAAACATTTGCACCAGTTGCCAAACTTACCACTGTAAGGGTCTTATTAGCTACTGCAGTCGCCAAATCATGGGATCTACATCAACTTGACGTTCATAATGCCTTTTTACATGGCGACCTTGATAAGGAAGTATACATGACACCACCTCCTGGATACTTGTCCCTTCCCGATATTACTTTTCCTCTTTTAGAGCCTCCGTATCAATCCTCATCATGTATATTTATTTGAGACCTTTCTGCCATAATTGAATGAAGCTTTTTGCCGTCTCTTTTATTTCATCAAACTCAAACTTCAATTTCTGATGCTTCTCTCTTCTTAGCTTTCTCGATTTCAAGTAAAGTCTCTCTGCTTCAGGAATTGCAGACACAATAGTCCCTAACTTGAAATTCAGTTCTTCAATCTTTTCCATAAGTCTGTCATTTGTAAACATGCCAATGAGGATATTTTGGATTGTACCCCAGCTTTCCATCAGAGGTAAAGCTATAATTATTACTGCCCAGAATGTGAAGTATCCCTTATTAAATTGTCCTGCATTGTCATAACAGAAGCAAAGACTATAACGAAAGTCGTAAATTCTTTAAACTTGAATGCAGATTGTAGGGGAGATCATATGTCGGAATATGAAGGCCACAACATTACAATTACAATTACAATAAAAATGAAGGCCGTTATATTTTGCTTGCTTTTGTATGACGAGAATCTCTCTTGACATGAAATCAATTCACACTCAAAAGCCATCCTTAATTTTGGTAAGCATAGGTTCTTCCTATTAATTTTGCCTGGTTAACATAAAGAATAAGATAGTAGAGTCTCAAAAAATAAAATTTAAGTTATTTATTTAAGAATTCTTCTACACGTACAAACAAAGTTTTCACAGAAAGGGTACAGAAAACTCACAGTTCTAAGGCTCACACACATTTTTGTTGGCATTTTTTTTAACAAGGTGTTCCAGCTTGCGCCAGACTATAGTATATATCCTCGTCCCTGAACCTCCGGCCCCTCAGCTGCTCAGGGAGGTAAATCGCAGGATATGCCCTTGTTGGTTCCCAGGTTCCCACATGGCTTTTACTCCTTCTCCAAAGGAAGCCTCCTCCATGATGATTAATCCACCAATAATTCCTCCTTTATTGGATCAAAGGTTCCCACCAGAAATCGAACTCTCCACGCTTTGTTCCAGAGCCCCCTAATGTGATTGTTCCGCCAATTTGGATGTGCCCTGGGGGGCTTTGTTGGCATTTTTTTTATACATCATGGGATCCACACACGTGTATTCTGGAAAAACTTCTGTGACAAAATTTCTATACATCCAATTTTTTTGTTTATTTAAAAGTTGAGACCATCTATGATTAGATGTATATGATGTTAAAATTGTACAAACAATAGCGTACTTAAATTATATTGTAATTTTAATGTAAATGATACTTAGCATGTTTATTTGACCATTCAAATGAGACGATACAGGTTTATTTGGGTGGGTTGATCTATGTAGATTAGCCGCCACGACCAGACGAGGTATTAAGCCTATGTTTGGTAAAAATTAAAATTCATATTTTAATTTAAAATCAAAGTTCACAGTTAATTTTGACCACACATCTCATGAGATTCATAACTTTTCAATCATACGTTTTATCAACTTTTATCAAAAATTGCTAAAAGTTTGATTTTAATCATCACCAGACACGAATTGAAAATCCCCCCTCCCCCCTCTTTATTTGATTAAATGATTTTTATAATAGTGATTTTTTTTGGAGAATATGTGTTTACAAAGTAGGAAGAAAATTTTGATTTACGCATTACGTTATTTTGTTAAAAACATGTGATTGAAAATAAATTTAGGAGAAAATGAGAATTTTGATAAAGGAGCTCAAACAGGGCATAGACAAGGATAAACTTTTGTAATGTTCAAAATAAAGTAGAATATTGTAGGAGCAGCCGTCATTGTAATTTCAAGTAACATCATTATTTTGCAAATAAAACAAACAATTTAACATTTATTAAGTAAATAATTAAGTTAATACAAAGACTTGAGCTCTTTTACAAGTTGCGTTGCAAATTTATCTTTGACCAAAATTCAATAAATGAAAATAAAATTAGACAAAACAAAGAGGAAATAGGTAGGAAATACCGCTGTTGTCCTTAGTCATGAATCATGTGAAAAATTGATATTTGTCTAGAAAGTTGTCCATTTGACTTGACTCCCAAGTTTCGTGTAGTTTTCCCAGTCAACTTATAAATGTTTTATTCCAAACTGTTATCTCAAGCCTTATTTGCGTCAATGCGTGCACCCGGGGTAAAGGGTTTGTTTAGTATTTTTATTTTTATTTTTATTTCTCACAATATGTAGAATGTAATTCGTTCGATATATGATATGTAAAACAGTGATGGGGGGCAGGTTTTACA